TCCCCTTAGGGTTTTCTATTTGTGTGTCCTGCTGCTTGCTAGTGATCTCATTCTTCCTTCCAATTCTCCTTCCAAAACCCTAACTCCTGCCTCTAGAGCGCACACACCTACCTCCTAGTGTGGGCCTAGGCTACTAAGCCTAGGCCCCACTACCTACTATTCTAACATAATTTCACTTGTATGTTTGTCAAATATCTAGCACAGTAATCGGATTTATAGCTATCCTATTTTTGTGTGTATTGTGAAGTTTTAATGACGCGACACGGACAAACACTTCTGCCGTCGTTTTTCAACATCCACGTCATTTTGGGCATTCATTGGTTCATTCGATTTACAGCAACAATGGTTGGCGATACGGATAGATTTTGATTGGTTACGAAAATTTTTGTGCGATGTGTTTGCTTGAATTGGACTGCCAGCGCAACTCTGCTGAGCAATCGCGCTGCAGATGCTTCAAGCGCAACCGCTTAATATGCCAGCCCAGCGCAGCCTCTCAAGTGCCAGCGCAGTGCACCATTGCGCTGCCAAAGCCAGCGCAACCGCGCAGCAGTTGTAAATGTCGCTGGCGCAACTGCGCTGCTGCTGTAACTGCCTCTGGCGCAATTGCAGCAGCGCCCGCCAAATACACAATCTCCAGCGTCACAATTTCTCTCCCCTCCCCAATCCCCCCAGCATCCCCCTTCTCCCCATCGTAACTGCTCCAACTCTCCCACCTCTCTCAATCTTATTGCGTGTGTTTCCATTCACGTCTCAGCAGAAGCAGATTGGTGCTCTACGTGTGTTAGTACGCCATTTCCCTTCATATCTCCAGTCGCCCTCGTTCACTTGCCTAACTTAGCGTGCATCACCTTTAATCGTTACTGCCATGCCTTTCGTGTCTGCGTTAGATTTTCGTCAGCCTGTTCTTATAGCTAGGGTTTACTCCTAGCGAGAATCGCGGCAGTGGGCGCGAAGTGAACTGCGCTACCTGCTGCTAGCGGCGGAGTGTGTGGTGGCGTAAGGCGCACGTTCTTCTTCAGCTGCTGCTGCTGCTGCTGCTGCTGCTAGCAGGATTCGCGACTGAGGGCGTGACGCAGTCTGGTTTCGTGTCAATTTTGGCGCACGGTTGCTCTCAGTGAGACCCGATCTGTGCTATTGCTCTGCAGTTGCTTGTACGCTTTTGCTCTTTCGTAACATTTGCCTGTTTTTACTGTAGGCGTTCAAGGGAAGCTCCCCCAATGAGATTTCCGTGCCAGCTACTCATCCACACTGCCTACATCTTCCTGTTGTTTTTATGTGCTACCTTATGTACGGGCGATGACAATTGTTTCACTTTCAGACCTTATTTTTATTGCCGTTTTTTGCAGCGTCTATCATTTTTTTAAGGTACGTGGTGGTCTCTGCCGTTCCGTGTGATTTCCACCTGAACTGTGTGTCGTTTGTATTTTCAGGAAGTTCAGTGCTGATATATGCGTTGTGTATTCAGCAAAGTTAGTAGAGCCTCTGATGCAATATCTTCATGTATTGTGTACATGCAACTCTAATATAGATATTTTTAACACACACAATGATCCTAACATTTAAACAATTTTGTTACTGATTTGTGTGGTTGCACTAGTTCTTAGTATGGAAATTGTTCGTTCCAAATATATGTGATTTGCTATGCATTTGATCCTAGTTTGCATAACATAATTTTGCAGATTATATACTTGCCAGTATGTAATTGTAAACAAATGGTGAAACAAATGCATACTAAAGAGCATGTTTTTGCTAGTGAAGTTGGTATCGTTTTGGTATGCATTGGTGCTCTACCGTTTACATACTAATCCAACCATACTTAATACCTACGACGCATGTTACTTTATGGTACCCCTAATGACCCATACTATTTGTATACTTCAGGATATGTTGCAAGTATATCTACGTTATGTAAAACGATTCATGAAATTTGAGATGGTCACAGGAGAAGCAGGTTGATGAACTGCACACGCACATGCATGTGAAGAAAGGTAGATGACGGTAGAAACCATAGCTAGGACTAAGCTAGCTAGGCAAGGAAGAAGCTAGGCAAAAAAAAGGGGTTGTACTAGCAAGCAATGGGATACAAATATGAAACCCTAAGGGGTTATACTCGCTATAGAGTACCCCACTGCAGGCTAGATAACAAATATAACATTCTGACAATGCATAGGAGCAGCAAGCAAGCCTAGATGCCGTATGCCTGCACGGACGCCAGCAGCTCATCTTGCTCCTTCACAGCAGGGGCAGCCACGGCCACGGAGCAACAGGCATGGACATCAACGTTTTACCACTCTCAAATCACACACACCCCTCTAGATGTCATACACCTGCACCGACGCCAGCAGCTCGTCCTGCTGTTTCACAGCGCGCTGCCACACCTCCACGGAGCGACAGAGCTTGGCATCAACGTGTTGCCTTACCACTACTTGATCCCCCTCACCCCCCTCCTCCCTTCTAGATGTCATACACCTGAACGGACGCCAGCAGCTCGTCTTGCTCCTTCACAGCTGGTGCTGCCACGGCCACGGAGCAGTCTACCTCAACAACAATATGTTACTATTCTCGAATCACCCACCCCTCTAGATGTCATACACCTGCACCGACGCCAGCAGCTCGTCCTGCTCTTTCACAGCCGGGGCAGCCACGGCCACGGAGCGACAGAGTTGGCATCAATGCCTTGTCACCCTATTATCTCCCCCCCTTCCCCCCTCCTTTTCCTAAATGTCATACACCTGCACGGATGCCAGCAACTCGTCTTGCTCTTGTTGGAGGTTGCGTGGGGCTAGGTTTTGCCCCCAACCACCGAACGGTGCTGCTTTTGGTTCTCACCTTCGAGTGAGCTGCAGGTTAGCGTGGGGCTGAAGATTGACTTCGGAAGACTCAACCAATTCGGTGCCACATGGCAGCACCAGAAAGTTCGAGACTTGAAGGAACATTCGGATGAGTGAAATTCGAGTGTCGAATTTCACCACTTCGAAATGTTACGAGAACATTCACGAAGTGTAGCGATGCGATGTTACGAACGCGGTTCGATGTTGATTGCATGCTATAAAAATAGTTGCTTTGTATGCATGTTTCATACTGAAAATCAGAGTTTTCTATACACAGTTCAACTCGACACAAAATCCAGAGACATCCTATTCTTCAATCTTTGAGCACTACCTAGCACGTTGAAAGCCGTATCAGAGCCGATACTTGGGCGAATCACGTGTTCTACGGCTCGTTGGAAAGCCAAGAGTGTGCTCTATTGTTTAGTACAAATCGCAGTTCCTGCAAATTAGAGGAGAGTTCTCTACATCAGCTCTTTCACAGCAGGGGCAGCCACGGCCACGGAGCGACAGAGCTTGACGGCATCGGCGGGGAGTGACAAAGAGCCACTGCTCGCCCATCTCAGCTAGGAAGCTGGCGTCCCACGGCTTGCGCAGGACGTCCCTTGACGCACTGGATAGGCAGAGCTGGAGAGGGGTTCAAAGGGGTGAGGAGGTGTGGGAGGGACTGAGGTGAGTGAGGGTGACGAAATCTTGAGCTAGGCTAAGGAGCCATAGCTAGTTAGAACGAGAGTTGGGTATCGAGCGAGTTGAGAGAGTTGAGAAGGATGCAAGAAAAGTGAGGGGTTTCACTATAGAGCGAGCAGTACAAATAGGCAAGAAGGAAGGTGCACCACCAAACAGAACATTATATAACTACAGTAGTCTACACTACAGGCAGTAACAAAACAATATATATAATGATATATTATTCTGACACGCCCCCATAAGTGCCTGTAGGGAAGAATGTGTAGTCAACGCCCCATAATGGGGTACACGAGGCAGAGTGCGTAGCAGAACGGGAGAGGGCAGGCAAGGAGGAGGAGGGAGAGAGAGGGAGAGAGAGGAGAGGAGGTGGTAGGCTCTGGTTGGTCACCCCCTACATCCCCTCACCCTCCCCCTCCCCCTCCCCATCCCCCTCACACTGCTGCAGGAGCAGCAGAGGAGGGGGGCAAACGGAGGAGAATGGGGCCGTAGGGCCAAGGGACCACACATCACCCATCACCCCCACACCCGCCACCCCCAGTCCCTCCCCGGGCTCCCCCACACTCTCACACCCTCCCCCCCAGCGGCAGCTGCAGCAGAGGGAACAAAAGGAGGAGGAGAAGAGGGGGGGGGGGGGGTGACGCACGGCCTCCCCGGGCGCCAAAGCAAGCGGCAGAGGGGGCGACGACTGCCCCACGCGGCCCCCTCAGGTCGCCTCGACAGGTGACGGGAAGAAGGGGGGGGGGGGGGGGGGGTGCACGTGCCCCCGGTGTGCCGCAGCTGGTGACGAGGCATGGCCGGGACGGGGTCGGGACCGCAGGTGTAGGAGATGGGGCCGGGGCCGAGGGCGGCGACGGGGCCGCAACAGAGGGCGGCGAGGCCGCTGGTGAGGGCGGCGACGGGGCCGCGACTGAGGGCGGCGACGGGCCGCAGGTGAGAGCGGCGACGGGGCCGCAGCTGAGGGCGGCGACTGGTCGGGGCCGCTGGTAGGTGACGGGGCCGGGCCGCAAGTGGGCGACGGGGCCGTAGCAAGGGCGGCGGGGCCGCAGTGAAGGGCGGCGAGGCCGTGACGTAGGGCGGCGGGGCCGCGACAGTAGAGAGGCGGCAAGGCCGCGACAGTAGGGTGGCGGGGCCGCTTAAGCAGGGCGGCGGGGCCGCGACAGTAGGGCGGCGGGGCCGTGACAGTAGGGCACACCACGGGGCGTGCAGTACACTCAGTAGCAGCGGAAGCAGGAGTCCAGGAGCAGAACACGCTCTGATACCATGACGAAATCTTGAGCTAGGCTAAGGAGCCATAGCTAGTTAGAACAAGAGTTGGGTATCGAGCGAGTTGAGAGAGTCGAGAAGGATGCAAGAAAAGTGAGGGGTTTCACTATAGAGCGAGCAGTACAAATAGGCAAGAAGGAAGGTGCACCACCAAACAGAACATTATATAACTACAATAGTCTACACTACAGGCAGTTACAAAACAATATATATAATGATATATTATTCTGACAGAGGGGAGTGAGGGGGGAAGGTGACGAAGAGCCACTGCTCGCCCATGTCTACCAGGAAGTTGGCATGGGCGAGCAGTGGCTCTTCGTCACCAACAGAGGCCAGATCAGCTGTCAGCCCATGCCCCACTTGAACGCTCTTGTCAAACAGGTCTCGCTCCTTCACCCCACTCATGCCTGACCAGATGCACGGGAGGTTGGCCGTCAGAGCTTACCACATCACACTACTAGGCAACCCCTTGTCCTATACCTTGTCGTATCTGAATGCTCATTCCAGACAGATAGTGACTCGGCATCCCATGAATCTCGCAAAGCTCCTTCAGCCCGTCGATGCCTGATGGGACGCCGGTGAATGGACTTCGATGCTGACCACATCAAGCTACAAGGCACATCAGTGCTAACCCATTATACCTTAACCTCAGCCCTTTCAACCCGTCAGTACCTGAATGCTCTTCTCGGACAGGTCTCGGTGGAGCTCCTTCAGCCCATCGATGCTCGACACGTCAATGTCGTGCATTACACTCAGATCCAAGATGCAGTGCTGTTGGTGGGGGAATGCAGTGGTGCAATGCGGTGGGACGAGGGAGAGGAGTTTAAGCGTGGTGCGATGCGATGCCCGACACGTCAATGTCGTGCATTACACTCAGATCCAAGATGCAATGCTGCGGGGAATGCAGTTAACGAGGTGCAATGCGGTGGGAGGAGGGACAGGAGGATAAGCGCAGTGCAATGCCCGACATGTCAATGTCATGCATGACGCTCAGATCCAAGATGCAGTGTTGTTCGTGGGGGTGGCTTTTGAGGCGCCTCAAAAGACATGACGCTCAATTCCAAGATGCAGTGCTGTTGGTTGGGGCGGAGGAGAAGGGGAGGGAAAGAGATGTGCAGTGCGTGAAGCAACACGTCAATGTCATGCATCACACTCAGGTCGAGAATGCAGTGCTGCGGTTGGGGTGGAGAGGAAGGAAAGGGAGGGGAGGAAGGAGAGGGAGTGGAGGTCGTGGGGGGAGATCGAGGTGCAGTGCGATGTGCTACACTCAGTGCTGGGCGTGACACTCATTGCGTGCTGAGTCCAGAATGCAGCAAACAAGTGAGACCGGTCATCAATTTGCATGACACTCAGGTCCAGAATGCAGCGCTGCGAGATGGGAAGGAGGAAGAGAGTGTGAGGGGAGATAAGCCCACGAAAAGAACAGTGAACTCTCTATCTCCCCAAAACCCCATCATCAGTAACCCATCCACAAGCCCCTCACTAGAAGCACAAGCACCAGACTCACCCACGGGTTGCTGGTATCCCCTCGCGTACGCATCACACAGCTTCTTGATTCGCTGGCGACAGAAACTCGCCGCCGGAAAATAGAGCGGGTTTTTTATTCCCCTCCTCATCCTCAGTAACCCATCCCCAAGACCCTCAATTGCAGCGTCGTTAACAGCACAACCACCAGACTCACCCGCACGGGTTGCTGGTACCCTCTCGCATACGCATCACAGAGCTTCTTGATGCGCTGCCGGCAGAAATTCGCAGCAGGGAAGTACAGCGGGCTCTCGATCCTCAGCATCACGATCCCCTCGCACAGCGTGCTGTTGGGGAACTGTAGCACGCTCACGGCTGTAGCAGCGCCGCTCGGGAGCAGGCTGAGCAGGCCGAGCAGGCGGATGTGCGGGCAGACAATGCGCAGGAGCAGCTTGAGGATGGAGAGCACGGAGGCGACTAGAAGGCCGATCTCGGGTGAACTGAAGATTATTCCGAGGAAGCAGCCGAGGATGACCATGAAGTCCAGCTTGTCTACGCACCAGATTATAAACGCTGCCTTGAAGTTGAGCTGGGAGGGGAGAAAGAACAGAGGCAGGGAGTAAGCTAATAAGGGGAGAGTCGTTAGGAGCAGGCGAGCATGAGTATGAAGTCGAGCTTGCCCACCCCCCGGATCGTAAACGCTGCTTCAAAGTCGAGCTGGGAGTGGGATACGAACAGATGGGATGGGATAGGGGAATACGATAGTGAATATGAAAACTGGAATAAGAGGATAAGGGGTAGAGAGTTGGGAGCAGCCGAGCATGAGTTTGAAATCAAGCTTGTCAGCCTGCCAGATCTGAGACGAGGCCTTGAAATCAAGCTGATTGGGGGGGGAGATGGGGAGACGAGAATATGTGATGGGATAACGGAATATGGGAATGACTGAAGAAGGAAATAACGGATGAGGGACAAAGGGGAAGAGTCGTTGAGAGCAGTCGAGCATGCCGACGAATGGAATAAGGGAGGGGTTTGTCAAG